ATGGAGGTGCGGCTTGAGGTGGGAGGAGGGGATAGGTGGGAGGAAGAACAGGTTAGGGAGGCAGGGACGAGCTGGACTGGTTTTGGGATGCGGTAGGGGGAGGGGAGATTTTGAAACTTGTGAAATCCACATTGATACCATTGGGCTGCAGGGTTCCCAAGCGGAATATGAGTTGCTGTTCCTGCAACCTTCGGGTGGCATCGTTGTGGCACTGCAGGAGGCCCAGGATGGACATGTCGTCTGAGGAATGGGAGGGGGAGTTGAAATGGTTCGCGACTGGGAGGTGCAGTTGTTTATTGCGAACCGAGCGTAGGTGTTCTGCAAAGCGGTCCCCGAGTCTCCGCTTGGTTTCCCCGATGTAGAGGAAGCCACACCGGGTACAGCGGATGCAGTATACCACATTGGCAGATGTGCAGGTGAACATCTGCTTGATGTGGAAAGTCTTCTTGGGGCCTGGGATGGGGGTGAGGGAGGAGGTATGGGGGCAGGTGTAGCACTTCCTGCGGTTGCAGGGAAAAGTGCCGGGTGTGGTGGGGATGGAGGGGAGTGTGGAGCGGACAAGGGAGTCCCAGAGAGAGTGGTCCCTCCGGAAAGCAGATAAGGGTGGGGAGGGAAAGATGTCTTTGGTGGTGGGGTCGGATTGCAGATGGCGGAAGTGTCGGAGGATGATGCGTTGGATCCGGAGGTTGGTGGGGTGGTACGTGAGGACGAGGGGGATTGTTTTTTGGTTGTTATTGCGGGGACGGGGTGTGAGGGATGAGTTGCGGGAAATGTGGGAGACACGGTTGAGGGCGTTCTCGACCACTGAGGGGGGGAAGTTGCCTCATTTCCCAGGATGAGGCATTCCACTCCCATTTCCCAGGATGAGGCATTCCACTCCCGTACATCTCAGATGTCCTCGTTTTTCAACGACCGCAACTTCCCCCCCTCAGTGGTCGAGAACGCCCTCAACCGTGTCTCCCAAATTTCCCGCAACACCCTTTGCTGACTCTCCCCAAACAGTCCTTGCCTTTCCAAATGCATGTAACTGCAGTTCCTCAGAATCCCTTCCAACAACTTATCCATCACTGATGTAAAACTCACCGGTCTTTAGTTCGCTGGCTTTTCCTTGCACCCTTTCTTAAATAATGGCACCACATTAGCTACCTCTTCCAGCACCTCACCCATAGCTATTGATGATACAAATAATCCTACAATGTGGAAGCAGGCCATTTGACCCATTCGGTCCACACTGATCTGAGTGCTCCACTCTGAGGAGCATCCTATCCAGACCTACCCCCTCTACCTTATTCCTGTAACCCTGCCTTTCTATGGCTAATCTACATAACCTGCACATCCCTGGATACTATGGGCAACTTAGACAGCCAATCCACCTAACCTGTGCATCTTTGGGCTGTGGGAGGAAACCGGAGCATCCCGAGGAAATCAGGACACGGAGAATGTGCAAACTCCACACAGACAGTCACCCGAGGCTGCAGTCGAACCTGGGTTCCTGACTCTGCGAGGCAGCGACGCTAACCACTGAACCTTCGTGCTGCCCCAGATGAGAAACCAGGGCTCATCCAGGATTTGAACCCGGAGCCTTTTACATGTCTCCCATGTCCAAGGCCCTAAGCGAGAATCATTCCTCTAGACCAAAGAGCCAGTGCAGCAATATCTCAGCAAGGGGCCCAGGAATCTCTTCCCTAGCTTCCCACAAAGTTCTGGGAAGCACCTGATCAGATCCTGAGGATTTATCTACCTTTATGCGTTTTAAGACCTCCAGTACCTCCTCTTCTGTAATATGAACTGCTTTCAAGATATCACTATTTATTTCTCAAAGTTGCCTAGCTTCCACGTCTTTCTCCACAGTAAATACTGATGCAAAATATTCATTTAATATCTCACCCATCTCCTGTGGTTCCACACGTAGATGGCCATGTTGATCTTTAAGGGGCCCTATTTCTTTTGCTCTTAATGTATTTATAAAATCTCTTTGGATTCTTCTTAACCCTATTTGCCAAAGCTATCTCATGTCCCCTTTCTGCCCTCCTGATTTCCCTCTTAAGTATACTCCTACTGTCCTTGTACTCTTCAAGGGATTCACTCAATCCTAACTGTCTATACTTGATAAATGCCTCTTTCTTTATCTTGACCACAGCCTCAGTTTCTCTATTCATCCAGCATTCCTTACACCTACCAGGCTTGCCCTTCACGCTAACAGGAACATACTCTCTCTGACCCTTGTTATCTCATTCTTAAAGGTGTCCCACTTCCCAGCCATCCCTTTACCTGCTAATAGCCTCCCCCAATCATCTTGTGAAAGTTCCCATCTAATACTGTCATAATTGGTCTTACTCCAATTTAGAACTTTAACTTTTTGATCAGTTCTATCCTTTTCCATAACTATTTTAAAACTAATAGAATTAGGATCACTTGCCCCAAAATGCTCCCCCACTGACACCACCCTGCCTTATTCCCCAACAGGAGGTCAAGTATTGCTCCTTCTCTAGTAGGTACATCCACATATTGAATGAGAAAGTTTTCTTGTATACCCTTAACAAATTCCTCCCTTCCAACAAACCTTTAACACTATGACTGCCCTTGTCTATGTTTGGAAAACTAAAATCCCCTACCATAACGACCCTATTTTCCTTACAGATATCTGAGATCTCCTTACATATTTGCATCTCAAATTCCTGCTGACTACAGGCCTATAATACAATCCCAATAAGCTGATCATCCTTTTTTTATTATTAAGTTCCGCTCGTATAGCTTCACTGGACGGTCTCCCAGGAATATCATCCCTAAGTAAAGACGTAATGTTCTCCCCAATTTTCTTGAGAGCTGATCGGTCGATGAACTAGTAAGGCCTTCTCCTGCCAACAACTACGTGATTGGCTCCCAGGTAGCTGAATAGCTTGGGGTGTGAATATTTTGGCAGCAACCATCGGAGGAGAAGGAGCTGTTTTTGTTCTCTACTGTAGAAAGCATCTCAAGCCAGAAGATAACAAGTTTATTTCCACTTTTCAGTTGCTGTAAGCCTGCAAATACCTGAAAGTATCTGGAGAAGGAACATCAGACGCAGCATTCTGATCAGCGCCAGAATCAAAACAAACACCCAATAAATCCTGTAGATAGACACCACTGAACTGCTTTCCCAGTCTTTACCTCTACCCATAACACCCATTCTTCTTTTCCTCTGTATCTGTCTGTATGTGTGTGCAGAGTGAACATTTATAAGTGGTACAGTTTTAAGTGGTAGAATTATATCAATACTTCATAATTAAAATGTACTTATTTTGAATAAAACAGTAATAATGCAAAGTACAGAAACCTTGTCCATGCTTTCTGTCAACCTTGGTCTGAAAGACAGGAGAATTGTGGAATTCTGTATACTTTTTTAAATTTTTAACTTTTGTGATGACTCTGGGAATAATCAGGCTCAATTTCCATTTGACTGCTCCAGTGAAGCATAACAATAATTCAACCCCTTCAGGCACAAGAATCTCACATGCCACTAGTTCAAAATTGAAAAGTCCAAACTCAAAATAAAATGATATTAATGTACATATAAATCACACACCTTACACCACACCGGGTGAGCAACAATCTTGTTTCTAACACATCTCTACATAAGGTCGGAGGAGCGTGGATTGGTTAGCTCAGCTGGCTGGACAGCTGCTTTGAGATGCAGAGCAATGCCAATTCCCACACAGGCTGAGGTCACCACAATGGAGTTATATTTCCACCTTTGTGTTTTGCCTCAGGTGTGGGGACCCTCAGGTTAACTCACCAGCAGCTGTCTCTCTATAAAGCGAGAGTAGCCCTATGGTCGTTGGGACTAGAGCGGCTTTACTATGTAAGACTGTACATTTGGCTATGAACCTAGACAGTAATTTGTCCTATACAAAATGTATGATTTTTGCTTGTTGCACAAAGTACTGACCATTCTGTGTAATTCAAAAGAGCAACATACAATGATCTTTGCCAACTGATAGACCAATATCTTGCCAAATTAATGCAGCATAGAATTGATGGGTCACAGTTCCTAGGAAACTAAATCTACTTATGGAAATTACTGTCAAACAGTTTATACAAGAAAAATTATGTTAATCTGGGACCCAAGCTATAACCAGAGTGTATGAAAGAGTTATTGTCATTTTTAACTTATTAACAACAATTAATCACATAACGAACAGGAATTCGTTTCAAAAATATAACAAGGCAACATTGACATTTCTTTTGGATTTTGAGTTATGCCTCAAGAATCCCATATCCTTCCATCTTTGGAAGTTAAGATTCGGGAGATCATGTTTGGGATGATTTATTGTACTTTTTTATAAATCATTCCACCTAATAACTTGTCAATTTGTTAAGCTCTATTTTCTGTGTCTTATTTGGACCATGTATTTGCTGAAAGTGATATAATAAATTTGAAAAGGTTCAAGGCTTGGAGCACAATTCTGCTTTTATCATGGTTTTCTCTTCCACTTCCAGGGATCTGTACATTGATGTGAATGTTGAGAGTGGGTGGTGGTACATACCCCTATCAGTGGGCTGGAATATGAATTCTGTGGGTGACATCACGGGTTCAGACAGTCTGATCTTTGTTTTCTGTATCCCAATGTTTAAAATTGTCTTTAGAACAAAAATAATCCCAGGCTGCACAGAGATCCATATTAACTATGTGATTGGATGTTGCAGTGACATTTTAAACCTTTGGTATACTCAAGTGTTTCATTATAGAGGAAGCTGGATTGATTGATTTAAATGCCTTACTTAATCTTTGGTGCAGTGTATTTGAAGGAGTGTCATTCTGTGGATAAGTGGTCAAATTGGAACCTGAACAAGATTTGATGTGTGCTGCTAAGGAAAGGCCACAAAACCATGATGATTATTCAATATATCTGGAGCCCGAAATTAGGAAAAGGCATCAACACTTTTGGCAGACTTAGGTATTCTTAGCCATTCTGTAAACCAAACATAGCAGTTTGTTTCAAATGTGTGCAATAACGTACCATGTAAAATTGTTCTCAGCTGATTTAGTATCTCTTCTCAGTGGAGCATTGCTTTTATAAACCTTTAACGCAGCTTCCTGGAGCTTTCACTTCCAATTAAAAGAGCAGAGTGTTGAAATGTGGCTGAACATTTTGAGCTGTTGTATTTTCTTCAAAATTTCTTTACAGACTCTGGGGAGCCTGCATCAAAAATGAAAGTGAAATAATTATTGATAGCTAGCAGCCACATTAAAAAGAGAATTGTTTATCTTTCCCTCCAACAGGCTATGGCTCAGTGTTTGCCATGCTGGCATCAGTGATAGCACATGGTAAGCACATTTTCCAACATGTTCAGGACAGTGTGGTTCAGTTTATTCGCAAATTGAATGTGTCCTGTGAACTTCCTATGTTATTTTAGCTCTTTGTATTTCTTGAGTTTGGATCCCAGACTGCGCCACTTTATTGCCTTTATTTCTTTCATACGATTTGGGCATCACTGGCAAGGCCAGCTTCGTTGTCCATGCCTAATTTCCCTGGAACTGTGTGAATTTCTAGGCCATTTCATGGTACAAGTATCATAGAATCCTGTAGTGCAGAGGCAGACCATTTGGCTATTGAGTCCACACCGAACCTCCAAAGAGCATCCTACCCAGACTCACTCCATATCCTATCCCTGTAACACTGCATTTCCCATGGACAGTCCACCTAACCCGCACATCTTTGGACTGTGGGAGGAAACTGGAGCACCTGGAGGACAGATATGGGGAGAATGTGCAAACTCCACACAGGCAGCCTCCCGAGGGTGGAATCAAACGTGTGTCCCTGGCACCATGAGGCTAACCACTGAGCCACCATGCTGTCCCAAATGAATCAATCACATTGCAGTGGGTTTGGAGTCATATGTAGGCCAGACCAGGTAAAGATGGTAGATTTTCTCCCCTAAAAGAGATTTGAGAGCCAGATCAGCTTTTATACCAATCGATGATAATTTCATTGTCACCATTACTGTGATTAGTTTTATATTCCTGACTTATTAATTGAATTTAATAAATTGGTGAAATTTGAACCTGTGTCTCAAAGGCATTCATTTTCAGTCTCTGGATTACTCATCTAGTGACATTTCCACTGCTGCACAGCACCCTGGGTACGGGAGACAAAGACATTAATTGTAATTGAGGTTGTGGAAAACAGATCACAACAGACCAATGTAGTAATGTAGTGAATCTAGTAGCACACTGGCCCATCAATGGTTAGTGTGCAGGATAGTTCCCAGTAACTCCTGAAGGATTGAGAATCCAAGCGTGTCCATACTGTCACTGGGGCTTCAAACAGATCCTGTGTAGTTCTTCACAAAAAGGAATGGAAGATCACTGCTAGGTGTCTGTTCTGTATCCCTTAGGATGCAACTTAATAGATCCAATGTCAAAGGCCTGAAAGCATGTTGCTTGTTCATCTTCTCGGGTTGTGTGGGAGAGATGGTTAAAATGCTGATGCATGGGGTTGTAAATTGAAAAAAGGAGCTTAGAATTATACCAACTGACTGCCCATTAATTTTCATTATATTTGTTGAATGTGCATTTAAATGACACATTTAATGTAGAAAAATGTCAGGGTAGGATAATGGTGCTCAAACAAAGAGGAAGGTGTTAGGAAGGAGGTGGATTTTATATGTTGCTAAAGGACAGAGAGGATTAGAGACAGACCAAGTCCAAAAGGGGGAGATTTTTCTTGAGGGAATCCTGTCACCCGCCAGTAAGAAAGCCCCTTCCTGAAATTTCTTGCAATCAGGGAGCTGATTGGTTGCCAGCAGATTTACTGCAGGATTTATGATCCTATTGCAGGAAAACCTCCCCCCACCCCACCAGCCTGGAGCCTATTCTCCAGAACTTGGCAGCACCACATTACAGACCATGGCTTCTGCCGAGACATCACATCCCATAGTCCCACAGGGAGGATTGCTGCCAAGAAAGGTTCCGGGAGGTGGCGGGATAGTTCTGGGGTTGGAATCATGGAGAGAATGGGTTTGGGTTTTGGACAAAAGTGCAGATCATTGGCTTCAGAGGCTTTCCCCTCATCTACACTGTCCAGGTAATGCTCCCGGACCCCGCAAGCTCAGTGACTCATTTGGATGCATCAATTCTTTGTTAGTCAGAGCACCCTGGCAGAAGTAAGCATGACCTCCCTGTAAGAGGTAAGTTCACGCTTTAAGTGTCAGGAGGTGGATCTGCTGAAAATCTCATCCAAAAATGGGCAGACCACCCAGAGAATTGTGGCATGGGCAGCCTACCTACACAGCACTTTTTTTATTCATTAACAGATGAGGGTGTCGCTGGCTAGGCAACATTCATTGCCCATCCCTAATTGCCCACAGGGCAGTTCAGAGTCAACCATGTTGCTGTGGGTCTGGAGTCACATGTAGGTCAAACCAGGTAAGGATGACAGTTTCCTTCATTAAAGGATATTAGTGAACCAGATGGGCTTTTCCTGACAATCGACAAGGGATTCAAGGTCATCATTAGACTCTTAATTCCAGATATTTTATTGAATTCAAATACCATGATAGGATTCGAGCCCGGGTCCCTGGAATGTTATCTATGTCTCTAGATTAACAGTCTAGCAGTAATACCATTAGGCCATTGCCTCCTCAAAATTATACCAAGGTCTGTTCACTAAAACCAGCTAGGCCTAACACAGCTGATGTTGTTTGGCTTTGTCTCCCACCATTGAACCCAGTTAAATACTGCTATCTAAAATTCTTCCTTTGTTGTTGGATGAGGGGAGCAAACGAGTGGTTTAAAAGGAGAGAAATAGTATGGAAAATAAATTGGAAGTTATCTTTATCCTCCAGTCTGAATCTTTGTGTAGAGTTGACAAAGGAAACTCAAGCCATGTAACATTTAATGTGGTCCAGCCAGATTTGGTGATGGATACCTACAGCACTTTTCTATCAGATACACTCAAGTCTGCTCACATTAGAGTGAGGGATTGAAAATGGGAGCTGGTTCCAAGTTAATCTAACATGCTGGAATGGACAGAATGGAAGATGCTGAAAGATCTTCATTAGGCCTATGGCCAAGACATATCATAAACAAATTAATGATATTTGTACTTCAATTATTTGCTTCCTACATTTCCAACAGCAATGGCATTGTTATATTGGGCATTAGCAAGATTGCATTTGGACTGCTATGTACAGTGCTAGTCATTGTACTTACAAAAGGACGTTAATACATTAGAAGCAGTACATTAGAAGCAGAACATGGAACGTACAGCACAGGAACGGGCTCTTCAGCCCACAATGTTGTGCCAAACATGACATCAAATGAAACTATACCCTCCTGACTGCCATATCCCTCCATTCCTTGCATATTCTAAAAGACCCTTAAATGCCCTATTTTATTGCCCTCCACCACCACCCCTGGAAGTGTGTTCCAGAATTTGCCCCTCACATCTCCTTTGAACTTTCCCCGTCTAGCTTTAAATGCATGATCCCTAATATTAGACATTACAACTCTGGAAAAAAGATTCTGACCATCAACCCTGTCTATGCATCTCATAATTTTATAGACTTCTATCAAGTCTCCCCTCAGCCTGCGCAGCTTAAGAGAAAACAACCTGAGTTTTTCTAGCCTCTCCTTATAGCTCATACTCTCTAATCCATGCCGCATCTGGGTAAACCTCATCTGCACCCCCTCCAAATCCTCCACATCCTTCCTGTAATGTGGCGACCAGAATTGAACACAATATTCTAAATGTGGCCTAACCAAAGTCTTGTAAAGGTGCGACGTGACATCCTGACTCTTGTACTCAATTCCCCAACCAATAACCACAAGCATGCATACACCTTCCTTACCACCCTATCTACTTGTGTGGCTACTTTCAGGGAGCTATGGACTTGACCCCAAGATCCTTCTGTGCATTAATGCTGTTCAGAGTCCTGCCATTAATTGTATACTTTTCCTTAACATTTGATCTCCCAAAATGCAGCACCCCACACTCACCCAGATTAAACTCCATCTGCCCATATCTGCAACTGATCTATCTCCCGCTGTATTCTTTGACAACCTTCTACAGTATCCACAACTCCACCAATTTTTGTATCGTCTGCAAGCTTACTAGCACACCCATCTACCTTTTCATCTAAGTCACTTACATATATCACAAACAGCAAAGGTTCCAGTATGGATCCCTGCGGAACACCACCAATCATGGACTTCCAGCCTGATAAACACCCTTCCACCAATTACTTCTGTCTTCTATGGGCGTGCCAATTCTGAATCCATGCAGCCAAGTCACCATGGATCCCATGCATCTTAATGTTCAGGATGAGCCTACTCAGAGGGACCTTGGTGAAAGCCTTACTGAAATCCATGTGAACCACACCCACTGCTCTACTCTCATTGACCACCTTTGTCACCTCCTCAAAAAATTCAGAAAAGTTTACTAAATGAGTATCTAGAATGAGTGGATTGCCTTATGAGGAAAGGCAAGACAGGCTAGGCCTGTACCCCACTGGAGTTTAGAAGAGTCAGAGGTGATTTAATTGAAACATATAAGGTTCTTAGCAGACATGACTAGGTGGATGTAGAATGGATATTTCCTCTTAAAGTTTACCAAACTGGTTGGTAGTCAGCCTAGGAATCTTTCCAGAGATTGCCAACTTCCACACTTGAGGGGCAGTACAGTGCCTCAGTGGTTAGCACTGCTGCCTCACAGCGCCAGGGATCCGAGTCTGATTCCATCCTTAGGCGACTGTCTGTGTGGAGGTTGCACATTCCTCCTGTGTCTGCGTGGGTTTCCTCCAGGTGCTGTGGCTTCCTCCCACGGTCCAAAGATGTGCAGATTAGGTGCATTAACCGCAAGAAATGTAGAGTTACAGGGATAGTGTGGGTCTGGGTGGGATGTTCTTCGGAGGGTCAGCGTGAACCCGAAGGGCCAAATGGCCTGCTTCCACATTGTAGGGATTTTATGATTCCCAAATATTTTGTAAAAGGGAAAGAAGTGTGCATGAGGGTAAGAAACAAGTAGATTACAGCCCAAGTAGAGTTATTATGGTCAGAAGGATAGAAACAGTTCTCTCCAGCTGAGAACATGAATCCAGAAGGCTGTATTGCCTGCCCAGTGCCAGGGTTTGACACATCTGCTTGGAGCTCAAGAGAAACTTGCAGTGGAGCTGGGTAGTTTCTAATTGTCTTGGTCCCTGTGGCTCCCAACAAAATAGATAGGATTACAAAATAGTTTCGACTTAAGGATTATGAACATCTAGGGGATAAATTTAAAAGCACATTCTCAAATCCAGAGTTTATTACTTAAACCATGAGGAAGTTGACATAGATAAATATGATTTGCAAGATGAATGTATGGTTCAAAGGCTGGTGTAGAAGAAATGTGTTTTGATTCATGGGGCACTGATACTGGTATGGGGGAAGGATCTGCCTGACCTGATCCACAAGAAGTTAGTATGTAGATACAGCAAGTGATTAGAAAGACAAATGGCATGTTGTCATGTAATACAAAGGGAATGGAAAATCAAAGCAGGGAAGTTTTCTCACTGTGAGGGCTAGGTAGATTTCCACCATATCTTATGGAGCATCCCCTGAGATATTAATGCTCACTGTCCAACATGGAGTTCCTTTGCAGCAAGCAGTGAATTGAAGTGGCCAGGAACCTGTTCTGATTCCCATGTTGAGAATTCTTGATATCTTGCTTGTTCTACGTGTTTGATAAGATAGGAAGATGAATATTAATGAGGTAAATTGCAGATCAATAAGTGATTAACAAGCTACCAATCCCTTAATTCACAACTCACTGCTGTTTAGCAAGAAACTTGCCTCACTGCTCAGCAAAGGCATAAAAGATGCAGCAGGATGCCTGTAATAGCAGAATCGGCCTCAAAGGACTTCCCATCTGATTCTGCCAGAGAAAATGCCATAGCCCTCATCACTCAGATCCCAATGAAATTCTACCCTATGATATTTATTTCTGAACAGATGCTGCCAGACCTAATGTACATTTCCCGCATTTTCTGTGTTTATTTCAGATTTCCAGCATCCAAGATACTTTGCTTTTGGCATTAGTGGCATTCTGGATGAAGTGCAGCTTGTGAATGGCAAAAACAAGGAGGCCAATGAGAACAGTATTTGTAGGGTGAAGTCTTGGAGTTGCAAAGGTGTAAGTGTCAGAGGTGGGAGTGGAGGAGGCAAAACAGGAACAGAAAATATTGAGGAAGTGCAAGAAGCCAATCGGAATGGACCTGGGGAAAGAAACTTGACTTCGTATCAAGCAACACATTCAGCTCCCAAACTATCTTTACAAACTGACTAAGTGGGATCACTGGCTGTATTAAAATTAATAAGACACATCTTTGTCAAATGTTTTCTTCTGTACAGTCTGTACAGCTGCTTTGTAAACCAATCTGCAGTGCCTAATTATGCTATTGAGTCGCTGAGGAGACATTTAAGCAAAGTCTTACCTTGTAACAGTCAGAGCTCCTCCTTGAGATAGATTTATTCCAGAGTTCAATAGGTTTGAGCAAAGGGAGGTTTTGTTACTGAGCAGAACATTGTAATGTTTGCCTGCTCCACCTGCAATGTTCATTTAACTTCAGCTCAAAGATGCACTAGCTCCCCCTATGTGATAGAAACTAAAGCGTTCTGCCAGATCTGCAGTGTTCATCTATCCAACATACGTTAATGTTTGCTAAGTTCAAGCATTAAGTTGACTCAATAATATAATCTTAAAGAAGCCAGTAGTTCACTAGCTATGCTTCTGCTGAGGACAGCTAACCTTCCCCTATTCAGTACAATTTGCCTAAGTTCCTGGTCCGTTTGTGTCTAACTCCCTTTCAAATGTTTCCCTCTGGAAACCTCTCCTGTTCATTCCTGGAATTCACAAGCCTCTTTTTCCTGTCTCTCCTCTCTTTCCTTTTCTTTGATATTGCCTGGAATTCTAGATCTAGTTTCCACAGCTTCAGCTGGATCTATGTAGAGGAAAAAAATGTTTATGATGTTAAACAGGATTTTGTACCAATATGCTATTTAATTTTTATTGCGAGACATGAATTATTTTTGGGGTGTAAAATAAACAGGATATTGGGAACTTTCCAGTGCCTACCCAGGAGCAGCAACATTTTAAATGAAATTTTAAGAGTTCATCTTCCAGTATTATTTCCACTTCTGCTTTTTCAGAAATACATTAAAGACATGTCATGTGCAATTTTCTACAGGTGTCCCAAAAAAAACTGCTATTTACAAATTGTCAAGTTTGGGTCACAAGGTGGTTACAGTGGATTGATAATCCAACAGGATAATGGTAGTGCATGTGCAGATCACCAAAGTTTTCCACAAAGCATGTTTCCAGACTCATGTGAAACACTCAAGGGCAGACAGGGAGGAAATACACAATTGCAATCAATCTCCTCTTCAGCCTTAGTAGTTGGTTCCAGTGATATTGACAGTACCCTCGAGCAATTTCCACTTTCGACGAAAACAAAAATGATTTTCTTTTGAAGGGGTAAGCTATTAATCTGAAACCAAACTCCTTCAAGTGACTTTATGGGAAATGCAATGAACAGTTTGATATGAACTAACTCTCAGGTTTACATTTCAACGGAAGGCAATTCAAGAGTCATGCATGAGTTCATCTAATAATAGGCTCCAATATCATTTTAATAAGAGCATTATCTTTTAGAATGCTTCCACTTGGGCACAGGGATATTTAATTGTCACAGCCACAATCCATACTTGAGATGTTTAATTTCTTGATAATTAAATAATGCAAACACCCCATTTTTAGAAATGTTGCGAGTTTGTATCACTTAGGTTCACATTCGGGGAAGCTTTATTCAACATTCTGACATCTGATCACTTTAAACATTGTCAGAAGTCACACAACACCAGGTTATAGTCCAACAGGTTTATTTGGAATCAATTTCTCAGGGACTGTGCTCCGAAAACCTGTGTGATTCCAAATAAACCTGTTGGACTATAACCTGGTGTCGTGTGACTTCTGATTTTGTCCACCCCAGTCCAACACCAGCACCTCCACATCACTTTAAACATTAGCTTTTCCCTCATCATTTCCTACTGGAATAGCTCTATCTGCTGGACAGCAGGCTTTGAGTAATTAATCTACATGAATTTACATGTTCCACTGTAACTAAGTTCATTTTTAGTACACTAGGTGAGCCTGTACAATATTTGTAAAAACAAATCCATATCTCTAAATCCATTATCTTCTAAACTGATTGCTTCTAAAATACTCAAAACAGTCATAAGATACAAAGGAAATAGAAAAGCTCAGTACTTCACAGTTTTTATATTGTAAGTCACAACAGTGTTTGATGATGCCAGTAGAATCTAAACTCAGGCATTGAAACAAAATATGATTCAGAATGATGTCACCTGAATTGATAGGAGCTCAGTACTGCATTTCAATCAATACAATTTACGTGATAACAGCCAGGCAAGTAATACTATATGCTGTAGCAAAGTCACATTGGAACCACCAGTCTAGACAAGGTCACTTTAGTGTCTCCTAGCAACAAAGAGGTAAAATTATTAATGAAGGAACCTCTTTAATGGATAAGCCATTATATTTGTTGATCGATTGAACTTTATGCAATATATTGTTAGCTTTGAAGAAATGGAAAGATATTAACCAAGAAATTCAAGAATTTAGTGTGTAGAAGAAATAGGGAACCATCATTGTTCCCAAGTAGAGAGTCCCAGATCATCTGCGCTGACATTGCTGCCACTATGGACTCAAACATGCATTATTCAGCTCACTTGGATTCTGCTTACCATGAGCTTTATGAGTTAGGTATCAGTACTGCAGTTTTGCACTCCTGGGACTGCTCTATCTTGTGACATCTATCCTACTCTGAGTCTGCTACATCTCTGTCTTTAACTTATCTAAAAATATCTATTGTTTAACTCTGTAAGGAATATAAACAGTTTACATTCTAACATACAGAATATTAATTCCAATTCTCTGCAACAGTTCTCTGTTCCTGTCTCCTCAGTGTTATATATGGGCCTGAAAATATCTGAAAGGGTTAATTCCTGTTTGCGTGCAATGACCACCACTCTTTGTGTTGATGTCAGGAGGACTTAGTGGGAGAATAATGTAGGATTTCGAGGGAAATTGACCTGAGGCTATGTCCCTCCTAACAGTCTTTATAGTAACATATTCTTATAACCTGAAAATAGTCGCAGGGAAGCGATAAACTATACATCTTGTTTACTCTACAAGACTCTTCCCGTTAGAATAGAAGGAGACTACCTTCAAACATGATAGACCACTTAAGACCTTAAAGAACCGAGACACTTAAAAGACATGGATTGCAGCATTCACAACATGGTGATCAGCATAGGATCTGAAGGCTTACTTTAACAGTACCAGCGCCCCAAAAAAAAATGCCCATTGCCCAGAATACATTAAGGAAAATGGATACAACTGATTATTGAGGACAGCAAATCACAAAATCCCCCATGAAAACACTCAATACTGATGAATACTTCAAAGAAACACACAGAAACCTTGTCAGACCTGATGAAAGATGCACTGGAATAGAAGAAATCTGCAGATTCAACGGGGAAGAGTTACATGCTTTACGGTGAAGATAGGATAAGCCTAAAGTCTGAGTTCAGACAGTGAGTGAACAGGCATGAGAGACAGTGTGAGCCAAGACGAATAATGCCTAACAGAAAGGGGAAACTGTAAATGGCACAAATATTCAGTCTAAAATGGTGATTATTAAACTAATTAAGTGGCAGCTCACATTGGGTATCATTGCCTTAGACTGCAGATACCACAAGGCACAGCTAGAAAACAAAACTAGGAGGGCCAACAGAGAAACCTGCAATAATCTGGGAGTGGAGAGCCAGGGAAATCAGGAACCCAGAATTTAAGATAGGTATTGGGCGATTAAACGCATGAAAAATTCTGGTCTCACACAAAATTTATTTTGTCTGTCTCCATTAAAGCTGGGAAAGGCAGGGATCCTCCATCCTCCAGAAGAGCAGAAACATGTGGGAGCAACACAATTACTGCAAAATAAAAATCCTTAAAAACCTAAAATATTTCATCACATTAGGAAGCCATGGCATCAGGAACAGAAATGCCAGGAAAATTTAACTTTAAGGATGAGCCAAATAGAACACAAAACTGGATACCCTGGATTAAATAATTTTTGAGATATAAAATAGATTCTAGACTGGATACTAAATCAGAAGCTGAACAATTAAACACGCTTCCTTACACAATACACAGAGCAAATGATATTACAGCTTGTCAAGTGATAAAAGAAGCAAATAACAAATTCAAAGAGATACTGACAGTCTTTGATAAATGTTTTCATCTCAGGACTAATACAGTAGTTAAAAAAGCAATATTTAATTAAAGAATACAGTGAATATAGATATAGATGACTTAATTAATGATTGCTACTGGGTTCTCTAATTCTCTCTAATTTGTGAGATGAAACTACGTTGACTTTAAATCAAAATTCATGAGACTGACTTATTGTAAGCATTACTGGTGAATACTTGTCAAATTTATTGCAGTCCAAAGAAGACCTGATTCTAGATAAACTATTCAGATGGTTAATGAAGCAGAAGTCTAGAAGTAACACAGATCAATCTCTAAGAGGAGAACTCTTGCCACAATAGTTCATCATAAATTCATTCAATTCTTACTGTACAGGGCTAATGTAGCCAATGTAGCATGAAGGACAGACACTAGACACTAAAATTCTTTGGTGACACTATAGAGCAAAGAACCTCACAGGCACAAACACTGCTGAGTTATTAAAGCTAACTGACTTTATTGTAGAACAATAGATCACTTGCAGAAAATGTGCTGAAGAATGACACACTGCAGAAAAGCAAAAGACCAAAAACAACCTCATACCCAAAACTATCACCTAAAGAGGTAAATGAGACAGAATAGTCTCCAAAAGTTTTTTTTTCTCGGGAAAAACAAAATCCAGGCCAAATATTCTAGCAAGCTGCCAATTTCTATCCATGGTCATCTTATAAATTTCAATTTAGACGTAGAAGCAAGTGTGACAATATTATCAGATAGTGAGTCTTCGTTGACAAATCATTGTAAGCAGCTAATAGAAGTTCAGCTGCATGGTTTGGGGCATCGCTCTTAACGTTAAAGGCATTCTACAGGAACACTAAATACTAGAAAACTTACATATGTTTCATAACCAGCAGTTCTTACTCCTGAATAGAAAGGCATATATTGACTTTAACGTCATTCTGAAGAAGGATGGGGTTAAACAATAAAAGGTCAGCATGAAGCAGCTGGTAGAAGATTTTATGGGGCTCATAAGGTCATGACAGAACCTAATTAAAAGCAGAATCCCCTCAGGTTAAATACCTTAGAATAAGAAATTCATTTCATACTGTCAATGTGATGGAAAGCTATGACATAATGGTTTGGCAGAATTTTTTTCCATTGCTATGAAAACTGGAGAGAGTTCAGATTCTAAGTGTCAAAAAACTTTGTAAAGGAAGATAAACAAAGTGGCAGCAACTGAACTGTATACACCATGTGAGACAATTGAATTGT